GCAAAGCCCGGGGCCGTGCGGGGCCGCACCCGCGCGGGGATGCCTGGCGAGACGGCCCGGCCCGGGGGTGCGGCGGAGCTGCCGCCGCCGCCGAACCCGGCCCTAAACCGTCCCCCCCCGGACCAGCGGGGAGCTGCAGCCCCTCGGTCACCGCTCCGCTGCCGAGGCTGCTGTGGTCCCCACGGCCTCGAGCCGCATCTCCGCTGGGAGTTTCAAACACCGCACGCAGCGTGACTACAGACAGCACAGCCTGCTGCTGCACCCACAGTAAATGGATCAACCCCCAGCTGCAAACACAGCGTCAACGCTGCACGAAGAGCCACGTTTAACATCTCCCCGCAACGTGTGCCGCAACAAAAGCGGAATTCTGCGGAAGCAATGTTTCATAGTGTACAGTGAATTGGCGTGAAACAAGTAAACACAAAATATTAAACGATTAAGTACAACCTTGGTAAAAAGACAGGAAAGATGCATCTATTAAAAAACTGCTCCAATTATTAAAAGTGTCACCAATTAAAAGAAACATATATATAACTGCAGTCAAACAAATGCTTTTCTCCTTGTAGAGTTTACCCAAGAAAGGAAACAATTACCTTCATGGCTAACATCATGGATTTTCCTTGACCAAGCAGTAGCAGTAGTTAAACAGAGAGATACTAGTAAAGGAAATGTAAACACTTCAGATACACTTTTATAATTAAGATACAGGTAGAGATACTCATTTCCGATATAGGTCCTTTTAATCAGAAAATACATAAGGGAAAGCAGTAACACTGAATTAAACGTGGCAAGCTGGTCAGGTTTACAGGCTGCATCCTCAGGCAAAGGATTTTCTATTACTGTTGTTATAAAGCGTTAACCCCTTTTGGATGAGGCATGAGGAACTCTAATTTAGTGATCAGAGCCCTGATTTTATCCATGCAGACCTCACTGCAGGACTGGGGCCATAATTCCACAGATTATCCATACACCCAGACTGGGAGAAAAGACACCAGTTCATGGAAGCTCTGGCACTTCTCAGCATGTTAATGTGCTTACAAAAAATGGGGCATGGATCATGGAAGCTTTACTTCTAATACAACAGAGTATGATTTATACACTTCTTCCTTCAGCCCTCAGCTTTCATAAAAAATCTTGCACATGTGAATACCTCTCTTGCCTGTTCTTACTGACATCACTGGCAAAACTCCTTGTTTCAGGAGGTACACTTCAGTTCCAAAAAAACATGGATCAATCAAAGGTTTAAAGAAGATGGAAAGAACCAGCCATATCAACCCAGCACCAGCCCTAACATCACCTAGGAGCAACACTGAGCTTTACACAGGCCAGCACTCCTACAGGGTAAACACCACTGATAATAAGCGCCCCTGGACACTTGTGAAACCATGCTAGTGGCAGGAAATCTCCCCAAAGAAATACTAAAGGAAGTGTATTTATGTCAACAGAAATGGTGTCGATGCTCAGGCTTCTGCTGACACAGTGGCATGTGTCAGAGCTCACTGCCCCTGCACCCCGCAGCTGCCACAGCTTTTCCTACAGACTCTACTAGTTCAAGGAGCTGCTCTAGCTCTACCAACATAAGGCCAGCCTATACTGGTGTAACTATCTATGCCAGACTGTCATCCCCTATAGATGTAGCAACACATAGCAAAAGCATTAAGACAAGATCAACGTCCCGCATGTGAAGAGCAGCACTGCACAATCAGAGCTCAGCCATCTCAGGCAGATGAAGTTGCTTGGGAGGGCGCTGGAGCAAACGGAAGCTGGAGCAGCTTTAAAGAGCTACTCTAAGATCCATAGAAATGAGTTTTGACAAGCCTGGCTTTTGCAGTATTAATATGTCATCACCTCCATTCCTCTGCCAGAGCCTTATCTCAGAGCAAAGTCAGCACAAGAGAGCACGTCCTTGGGCCTCAAGTATTGCTCTTCACAGCCCAGAGCCATACCTCAAACCTCCTTTCATTAGCTTCTTAATGCATTAGGGTTTGTTTCTACATTTCAGCAGCAGATGCCTCCTCTGCTTTCAGAGAGGGATCTGTCAAAACCAACTTCTCCAAGGCAGCAAATTAGGCCAGTCTCCAACCATAACACAAAGCAGCTCTAAGGCACAGATCACAAAGGTTATTCAAGCCCTCCTCTGAACTGCCTCGTCATGCTTTCTGGCTACAAAAAAGGATGACAACCATGGTTATTTGTCTGTTCTTCCTCAATTTGACAATAATTTTACCATACGAATGACTAGGCTCCAACTCAGCAGAGCTTCATCCCATCTGTTTCTCGACCCTCTTTAAGATAACACGGGAAAAGTGAAATCCTTCCCTAACTTGCATACAGAGGAATTGCTTCCAGCCAGATCTCTCTGACTCTGATGCTCCTGATCCAAGACACTTCTTCTCCATAGTAAGTATCTAAATGGAAGTTGTTCTTCAGCTTCATCCACCCCACACCTTCCCCATTTTTTAAAAAAAGTTCCTCCAGATTCCAAAACTAACTTCAAGATACTTTTATTCAAATTCCTGAGTCTATTTTAAGTCAGACAGCTAGCAGTCCTTGAAAAAAACCCCAAACACCATAAAACCAAACTCATCCCCATCCCCCCCAACCAACCTGCAAACCCAAACAATCAGCATAAACCAGGAATTTCAGTTCAAGTTTATGGTCTCAACACAATGCAGAAAATGGTAATGAACTTTGTTTTGAAACAGGGTTATTTATTACAGCTTGGTTTGGTTTTTTTTTTTAAAAAAAGCACCTCAACACACTCTGTCCTAAACTCAGATACGACACAAAACCACCACAGGACAGCTATCCTTAAGGAATCTTCCAGAAGAATGCAGGACACTAAAGAAATTCTTCACCGTTCTAAAGAGTAACACTGCCACCTGCTAGGGAAAGCCAAAATGCATAAGCAGGTCACCACCTTCAAGGAAACATTTCTCTGGCTACGAACAACAAAAGATAAGGGAGATAACTGAAGTAAAATTTATCTTCTGCCTTCCCTCACTATTCAGAAACTTCAGCTTGCTGGAGATAATTTTTTTTGGAGACAGCATTCAATTAAATGATGACAAATCACATTATATAAGCTGCTGTGTATCAGGAACTACTCCAAATGCAGAGCATGATTTCAGACCCTAGTCATTGGTTCGATGGCACAGCTTAAACCAAGAGCCAACAATAAAAGAGCCAGTGAGTATGACAGGTAACTCACACAGCACAGTTTTCTATGACCGGGAGATGGATGTTTATGTCAGTCACTTCTCTGCACAAAACGTGATCCCAGGGCTACACCAATTTAGTCATACACTGACGGCAGAAAGAGTTCAACACTGAGTCACAGTGACAGCTGAGATACCCAAAATACTGTAAAGCACCCTCACCCAGACGCCTTGACAGATCTCAAAAAGCATTTCTGACCTTTGTGGTCATAAAGACTACCTAAAAAATTAGACACAGTCTATAAATTAATGCCCAAGTCTGAAAATGCACAGAAACCAAATGCTGAACACACAGGTTAAGTGTTTAAGTCACCACATTATTCACCCCGTCAGTTCCTGCTCTGAAATCCAGAAAAGTATCCAGGTCAACATCCACATTTTCACTAAAGATTCCCAAAAATGCACTGCAACCAATTGCCTGGAATACTTCCTAACCTGCTGAGATCATCCATAAATTCTTAGTCTGTTCCTCGGTGTAGAACTGGACAGTATCACACGTTCCTACTAGTGCTTGCAATTTTGAAAGAGCAGGTCTAAACACAGGTTATACACTTCTAACAGATATGTGAGCCAGGAGTGAGCCGTCCCCAGCACAAGAAACAGCATCCTCTAACAGAACTGCAGTTACGCAATCAAGGTTCTTTCTTTAATTGCACAGTACGTGCGTAGCTGCAGGCTGTGCCTCTGCTCAGGTGCACCTCGGGATAAACTCCTGTTCAGGCTGGTCAAACACTCCTGTCACCAGCACTCTGAGGGCAGACGTGAGGTGGCCACAGCACAAGCAGCAGCCACACTACCCACAAGCCCCCCCCTTCTCTGTGGGACAAACGAGGGGGAAGGAGACAGGCGCCCCAAGCACTGCTCCCTGCTGCAGCCACTGCCTGCACTGACCTACCCCAGCACGCCACGCAAGACAATACCGATAATTTCTGAACCTGGGCTCTGATGTTCTGCACATCACTAAGACTCTTCAGCACAAGCCAGAGTTGTGTCCGTTGTCAAACACGTGATAAACACCTTCAGTGCAGACATTTTGCTCAAATTCTTCAGCTCTGCATGCAATTACAAGGCTCTTCCAAGGCTACAAAAATCACCCCTTTATTATTTTGGAGGAACCAGATGACTTGTTTTTTTTTCCTAAATAGCCATCAATAAAAAAAATTACTAAAGGAAGATGCCAGATCAAACTGGCTACTGAATTGTGATAGTATGAGAGCTCCAACAGGTCGTTTGGTGGCCTTACTTAGCCACACCACTTCTGTCTGAAACAAAAAGGAAGTGTGGGGGGGGGAAATGCTCCAACATATGAGGCAATTATGAGTACACTGCACATGCGCTCAGACTAAATCCCAGTTTAGAGAAAGCAACAGATGAGTAAAAATAGTCCTAGGAAGGTTCTATTTTTTGAAGAAAAGCTCAATCAATCATGAGATTAATTAAAATTCTCAGAAGGAAAACACATAAGACAAACAATCACTGATGACACTTTTTAATTTGATATGGTCAGAGTTTTTCAAAGTAACTTGTAAAACCAACAGAATAAGACAGAACTAGAGGATAGGCAAGTTTCATATTTACAGTCATTCAGAAGTAATAGTGTAAAAGCATATCTCAAATAGTGGTGACAGAAGCATGAAAACACACAAAGAATAATATTTTAGAACATTATTAGAATTTTATATTATCTTAACCAGTAAAAGAATTTGTTACATTTTTTACTGCCTAATTCACCAACTCCTCCTAAAAAAAAAAAAAAAAAAAGGTGCCACTTTTCTCTTTGTAAACAACAAAAACTTTAGTTTTTCCACACACTGAAGTGGCACAGTAGAGTTAACACTAATGCTCTATTCTTCACCATTAAATTAAAAAACCCAGTTGGATAAAGGGAAAAAACCAGACCAAGTCAGTGTACTCATTCAGTTGGATTCTGGATGACAATCAGGAAGTAGTCTTTATCTGGAGAGAAAAAAACCAACATAATTATGCTTTCATTGCTACTATTTATTCACAGCAAAGTAAATTTCAACATTTTATCCTATCTCACTGATACAACATGGGAACTATATAGTCCTGACATTCCTTTTCAATGAACAAAACAGGCTTGGCATGTCAGATCGCTTATTTTTATGAGTCTGACTGACAAAAAGTCTCTGCTTTAGAAATTTCATGCTCCCAAGACCAATTGAACTTAACTCAGTTTGTGCCTAGGAGATAACAGGAACTGGCACATGCAATGATGGAATCAAAAGAGGTGGTGCAAGACAGATTTCCTTTATCTCCCAGCCACACTGCTGGGCTACAGTGGCTGTAGCTACATTTTTTGCTGGAACAATGCTTATTCCTCTTTTCATCCTTCATATGGAAACCAAAGGCTGCTTCAGCATAAACCCCAAAGCCTGTTTTAAGATCTGCCTTGACCAGTCCCCGCAGAGCAGTCTACTGCAACTGCAACCCCCTCCTCTGCCTCTCCATCAACACAATCCCACCACGGAGCCGATGCCTTATGAAGGAGCAAAGCTGAGTTCCTGCCACATTAGTGAACTGTACTCATCTCATTGCTTCCCGTCTCCTAATTTGATGAAATACTGAGAACGTTTCCTGAAAAGAAGGTTGCTGCTGCTATAGCCTACAGTTCATGACTGCAGCTACATTATGCTCTATTCCTTTTCTCTGAATGGGAAAATCTATTAAGACTGGTTTGCTTTATCATTTAGTCTACAGCACTGAACCAAAAATGCTCTCAAAACATATTCCTTCCCAACTCTTGTGGTTTTATACTGAAAAACAGAAAGTATGAGAGGCTGCAACACACTCTCAAACCCTATTTAACACTTTCAACTTTGATCAACATGAAACAAGGAAAGTGATTTCCCACATTCAAACATGAAAAGTCAACTTAGGTCACTGATAAAAGCTTTCTACTCTGAGGAAAGCAAAACAGCTTCTTGGAAAAGATTATACAATATGAATAAAAACAGCAGACAGAACTTTTCTCTCAGGCTGATAGTGTCAATCTCAAAAGAAAAGAATTCTGCTGGATCCCTTGATGCCTGCTTTCACCCCACTCACTTTTACCTGGTGCAACCATGATTTCGTTTTTCTTGGAGCGGATCCGCAAGAACGTGAGGTCGTTCTGGGGATCAATGTCTCGCACAGTGCTCCTTGCCTTCATGATGAAGCTGTGCATGAGGCTCGCATACTGAATTGTTGTGGAGTTGTCCATAGTACTTTTGATAGGAATACCTGCAAAGAAACAGGGGACACAAAGGGTTAGTGGCATCATCAGGTCCAACTGGGGTGGCTATTTAACCTTAAGCAGATGTTGTCACTACACCAGGGATTAGGAGTGTTCTTTTTAAAGGTTTAAAATAACAACATGAACATAACTGTTTACCTCAAGTAGCATCAGTGCTTTACTTTTGCTTTTTCATTTATTTATGAGATTTATAAATAGAAATAAATAATAACAAAGATAAATATTGGGGTGGGGCAAGAAAGGAAATAGCAATGTTTCAGTTCTGTTCTCCTGACCAGGGACAGCTTTTCCTTTCAGAAAAACTCCTGAACATCACAGTTAAATGATATTCAAGTAAGCTAGGCTGGGATCAGCATTGATTACAGGGGACATCAGCTGCTGTAGCACACAGTTACAAAGCTGAGACCCCAACATTTGGCCGTATGACCTGATGCAGCCCTGTAAGGTCCCTGGTTCAATTCCTGTGCACCAGCCAGGAGGGCAGACACACTGACACTGTCTGGCCAGGGCTTTCCCTCTTTTATATTTCTGCCACCATTAAATATGTTTTCCCACAAAAAGCCAGTCAAAATTCAGCTCATGTGTCAGAACAATGCAGAAGCCAACTACCCAGTACTGGCATGGCAGAAAAACTGCTGCAGGTGTATGTTTAAGTGCAGCTTTAGCCTGGAGAGCACAGTCCATTACTCAGCATCATGAAAAAGCAGCAGGCAGGAACACAAGCTGCATACAAGTCCACAATGATCTGATCTTCAAAATATTCATATATAGCTGCTATCCATCATCTTTTCTAAGGATTATTTCCAGGAAATACTCAATTTAAATTATAATCACACCGTTTAAAGAAGTTGGGCTGCGCACGGTATATTTAGAGTGCTCTGAGCAAGTCTGCTCTGTTGGACCCTTCAATGACTCCCAAAAGAGACAACGAGCTTATGAGTTTCCTGAGGCCATGAGCATGAGGCAGGTGCTGAGCCACCTGAGCCTGCCAAGACAGCAGCATTCTGGACATGCATAGCAGCAAGATTTCAGATTTCATGAGAGCTTTTAGCACTGCTGATAAAGGTTTGATTTTGACAGAACAGTCTCAAACACTAGCGTAACTCAAATATTCCTAAGCTTTTACAATTTATTTTAATTTATTTCCTAAAATAATACAGTGAGACTGCAGAAAAGCAGAAAGAGGAATCCAATTTTCTCTTGTAGCCTAACTGTTGTCTATCTGCTTTGGCTACAGAAAAACCCTTGCTCAAGACAGAGAGTAACTGAAGGGCAGGGAGTACACTCAGTGGCCCTTAAAGTGCATGTTTAGAGTAAGTTATATCTCAGAAGACCAAGACTGACACAATACCTTCAGAATTAACAACAATGATTCCCTGCACTCCTTTCTGGCTCTGAATTCGCTTCAGTGTTTCTTCCACCTCAGCCTGAAAATGGAGAAAGCACAAATCAATAGAAGATTACAGCTGCTATTTGCCTTCCACCACAGCTTTGTAATAATGTGTCTGAAAATGAAGCTGCACAAAGGTGAGACAGTACCCACACTGTTCTATACACCAAAGTGTCTGTACGACCTTTTCTGCATAACCTTTTCAGTAGTTTTCCGTCACTCTTCTCTCATTTGTGAGAACTCCCCTCTAATCCTTCCCTCTCTCCTCCTCAGCCCTCCTGCAACATCACACATCAGTTCCTTACTGTAGGCTTGCAACTGGAAGGCTCATTAGTCAGACTGCTACAATTTAGGTGGCAAGCAAAAATCATGTATGAAAATATACATGGAATTTATAAAAAAAAGTAGAAAGACATACATTCTGTGTACAAAACTACCTTTTTTTATCAAATAAATGCTAAGAACAATTATAAATAAGAAAAGTGAGGGGAAAACCAATGAATAAATGTTATTTATTCATGTTGAGATAGCTACAAGATTATAGCCACTAACAATAATTTACAACTTTGCAAAATCAACTTAAAAAAAAAAAGGAAAAATGGAAACTGAAGGGTAAGGCAATAGTCCCTTTTCCTTCTCTGTAAACATCACCATCAACTTAAGAAGAGCTTTCAAATCCTACTGCACAACTTCCATTGCTACGAGACATCAATCAAAATTTAACTGTAGGTTGTCTAACAGGATCATAAAACCTCAGCACCTGAGCTGTTTTCCATAGCTGGGTGAGGATTTGGCATTTTTTTATTCCCATTCAAGGAAACAGAGACATGCAGCATCTTTCAGATCCTGCAAGAGAGTCCACACAGAAATGGTCTAGGAGGGAAGACAAGAATCACCTGAGCTTGGGAAAGGTGAAATCTGTATGGGGCGTTTGGCTGAGACAGTTAACCCTCTCTCCATTCCCACCCCACAGGAAACGAGCGCAGTCATGTTATAAGCCTTGTTTGCTGAGAAAAGGACTTGTCCTAACAAAACATCATGGCCCCAACCTCCGAATGTCCAGCAAACTCTCTGCATAGCACTGTTGGTATGGGTAGCTTGGAGGAACATAGACTGGTAAGATGGTACCACCTGAATTGGTCTTCGTGAAGCAGAGTTTTTCTGTCTTAACCAGCACAGAAAAGACCAGTCTTTTCAACAAAGCTCTTGATTATTTCTGTATGCTGGGACTATTTTCAAATGGCAGTCAAGTGAAGTGAAAGAAAGAATAAGCTACAGGGTGCACAAATGCTTAGAGAAAAACAGTGGCAAACTGTTAAGTCTGAAATAATTTCCTGACTATTTACTATCTGTATTTAAGTCCTGATTTGTCAAATACTTTTCTTCATTAGACTGTAACAAATTCGGATGCAAAGCATCATCCATGCAGAACGATACTGACTTTTAATTTCTTCTAACAACCAACAGATAATATAACTCACAAGGTGGGATGATCTGCTCTAACAGTTCACTGCTGTTGACATGTCTTGCTCCTGCCATTCTTACTCCCCGACACACATGTACCACTTCACACACACTAGCTCTGGTGCTTGTCCAACGCCTCCACAAGTCTGTTCAACTTGCCAGACCAGCAAAAATAATACTGAGAAAGAAATTATATATTTAGCTTGTGAAACAAACAAAAAAAGGCTGAGTAACTACAAGAGGTAATATATGGGGAAGGGAGGATGCACTCTGGAAAAGCAGAGCGAATACTCCCCCAGCACCAATTTGTTCTTATATAACCTTTGCTGTATAAACAACTATAACTTTTATATTCCTTTTTTTCATCTACAAAGCTTTAACTCCTAGGTTTGCCTAAAAATGTCTTATTAGAACATTTCCATTGCCCATTTATAACTTAGATCGGTAATTGTTTCTTTAGAAACTTTTCTACATATTTTGAGCCCGAATTTCATGAATATGTGCTAGCCAACAACACATCTGAACAAGAAGCAACCTCCAATACAATTACAATAAAATAAATACGTTCCAGGTTCCACAGAATGTTAAACAACCAGTTGTCTTTTTTTCTCCCCGATTGCTTTCAGTTTTAGGAATTGTAACCTGGTGGCCATAAGAAATGCAAAGATATCGCTCTGACTGTATCTTTAGCCTGCCGTCGCACGGCGTATCTCAGTGCTTGGCAGAATTAACCGAAGGTTTACGGGAACAATGCGCTTTCCACCGCAATGATATGGGGCAGCGCGCAGGCTGGGCTCCGCCGCACGGTGACACCCCTCCGTGACAACGCAGCGGCCTCCTCAGCCGCCGGTGTGTGAAACACCGACCAGCCACGCGATACCTGAAACCTCCGCCCAAAACACCCGCTTCACAAACCCGGGGCCCCACCCGCGCGTTCCCAGCGCAGAAACCGAACCCGAGCCAAGCCGGGGGGACTAAGAGAAACCGGAGAGAGACGAAACAGCCGCCCACAAGTGGGTGGGCGCAGGGCGGCGCGGACGAGGCAGCCCGTCTGGCAGAGGAGCTGCCAGTCAGAGAGGGACCTGGGGGTGTTGATTGACAGCCGGCTGAACAGGAGCCAGCAGTGTGCCCAGGGGG